CCAAGAGGAGAATGGAGGAGAAGGGATTGTGGCGTGACCATCCCCCTGGGGGGTGATTTCTCGCTTTCTGTCTCTATGTCTCTGTCTGTCTGTCTGGCGAGCCCCATGCGCCCTATAGCGAAAAACCTCTCAAAAAAAAAAAAAAAATGTTCGGCAGTGCGTGTGCTCACCTGAGATACAGGGAGACAGAGACACAGATAATCCCCCAGGGGCAATGGCCACACCACAATCCCTTTTCCTCCCTTCTTCTCCCAGGATCTTGGACACACATACACAAGCTCCTGACGTGAGTTTAAAGCTGCTGGGTCTGGGACTCAAACTGCAGTTGACCATATGGGAGTCTAGCGACATAACCATTACGCTGTGCTGGCCCTCCATTTTGACTATCATATTGTACTTTCCTCCCTTCCCCTGCTCCATGCCAGCCACACTAGCCACCTTGCTATTCCTAACTCTCCAAACAGGTTTCTGCCTCAGGATCTTTGCACTCTGCCTCTAGGTAGCAATAAGGATCCCTCACTTAAGAACTTTGCTCACTTGTCACCCCAGTGAGCCCTCCCTTAACTATTCTACTTAAAACTGCTCAGGCCAGTCAGTGGTATGTTGGTTAAGGCACCTGGATTCCACATGGCTGGCTGCGCCAGGTTCAAGTCCTAGATCCAGTGACTTGAAAAACACACCAGATTCATGTGGATGCATGCCCAAAGTCCTGGAGGAAGAAATGGAGAAGGAATTACAGCATGACCCCCACCTGGGGTGCTTTCTCATTCTCTTTCTCTCTCTCTCCAGGGAGCACACATGCCCTCTGGCAAAAGCAAAACAAAGAAACAAACAAAAAAACCCTGCAATTCACATAACTTTTCCTATCTCCCTACCTGGCCTGATGGTTGATATGATGTAGCACCATCTGTCCACTATATTTTCTTATTCACTGAACGGCTTCCTCAACTAGCACATTAGTTCCAGGCAGGCCCTGTATGCTGAGGTTAAGTGGAGTACATACAAAGCCGGATCCCACAGGCTGACTGCAGTTTGAATCCCTCCCCCAGCAGCCTGAAAGACAAGCTGTCAGATGCATGTACCTGTGTACCCAAAATCGTGATGGCATGTAAAGGTAGAGGAAATAGGACTGGCCCCCAAGGGAGGCCATTAGGGGCTGTGGTGTTCAAGGCACTGGACTCCCAGATGGCCAACCACAGTTCTAGTCTCGGACCTGGCAGCTTGCTTTCCCACTTTCCTTTTCTGTCTCTCTACAATTAAATTAAAATAAATAAATAAATAAATAATAAAGAAATAAAATGAAATACAAGTTATTTAAAAGAAAACAAAGAAAAACACACCAGGAACATATATGTTTATGTCCAAAATTCTGACAGAAGAGGAATGTAGAAAAAAGGACTATGGCATGACCATAGCCACTGAGGGTTGCTTTCTTTCTCTTCTGTCTCTCCCATCTCTCTCTGATACAAACAGCATTCCCAGATGCCCGGCTTCCCAGATCAAGAACTTCATTATAAATCCCATTACAAATCCCCATACAGAAGCAGCTCCAGTCAGGTGTACCACCCTTAGTCCACTTAGTTATGGCCAAGGGAATAAGCATGTAGCTACCAACAGCATTTTCCAGTGTCTAAAAGGGCATGTAGTCCATACAAGACTATTTATATACTTGTTAAACATTTTTAAACTGTCCTTATGCTTAACTTACAAACATTCCATTTAGAAAACTAGTGCATTTTAATAATCACTTTGAAGGAAGCCTTTAATAAATGTTTGGGGGAACCAGCAGTTAGAGTAATGGCTATGTCGCTGGATTCCCACGTAGTCGACCGCGGTTCATGTCCCGGACCCGGTGGCTTAAAACTCACACCAGGCGCATGTGCGTGCGTGCTCAAGATCCCAAGAGGAGAATGGAGGAGAAGGGATTGTGGCGTGACCATCCCCCTGGGGGGTGATTTCTCGCTTTCTGTCTCTATGTCTCTGTCTGTCTGTCTGGCCCCGGCCTCATAAGAGGAAAACCCCCAAAAAAAAAAAAAAAAATGTTCGGCAGAATTCGTTCATGTTGAACAGACTAAGTTTAACTGTCACATTTAAAATTTAAATTCCTTTAAACCACTTAACCAGCAGTCCTAGATTTAAGTCTTTTTTAAATAGTACTTAAAATGCTTTTCAAGAAAATTTTTCCAAGTGTTTAACTTTTTTAAAGAATTATTTTATTTAACTTTATTTATTTACTTACTTATTTTAATTTGACCAGAGGGACACACACACAGAGAGAGAGAAAGTGAGAAACCAAAAGCTGCCAGGTCTGAGACTTGAACCTCAGTCAGCCATGTGGGGCTCCAGCACCAGTAACCACCACGCCACCTACTGGCCCTGTGTTTAACTCTTATAATAAACAAACAAAAAAAAAGTTACTTTCTAAGTTCTCTGAGACACTTTAGTTGTAGACTTAGTAACATTTCAAAATATCTTTCAACTAAAAATCACAAACTTAAAAATATGTTTGGCATTTTTTTAAAAAGAATTATTTATTTAATTGTATTATTTTAAAATTTGACCAGAGAGAGACAGAGAAAGAGAGAGGGGGAAGTGAGAAAGCAAGCTGCCAGGTCTAGGACTCAAACCAGTCTGCCATGTGGGAGTCCAGCACCTTAATCACCACACTACCTGCCAGCCTGTCAGGCATTTTAAAATTTGATTCTTAAAGCCAATGTCACATGCTGAATATGCCAACTATGTTTAAATACTTAAAGTAGTAAATACTGGTTTGTCTCAATTAATATAAAAACCATCCCTGGATTTCCAAAAGCACTGATGCCATGCCTATTTAGACACCAGAAAATACTTACTGGTGGCTACACGCCTTCTCCCTTGGCTATAGTTAGGTGGACTAAGAGCGGTACACCTGACTTGAGCCTGAGCCGCTTCTATACAGGGGTTTGGAAATGGGATTGATCATGCAATTCTTGGTATGAGAAACTGGGAGGCTGGGAATGCTGTTTGTATCAGAGAGACATGAAGAGACAGAGATGGTTTCCTAATCTTTTGGGAATTTGTAATCCTTATATATTTGAGAACAATGCTTGTGAGGTTCTGTCAAGGGAATTCCACTGTGGAGGCCGCCAGCAGGTGGACCAGTTCAGCACTGGGATGACAAAGAACTCAAGTGCAGGGACTTCAAGAGTGAATTAACTACCTTAGTCTATTTAATGCAAAATGAGAATACTACTAAACAGTTTCTGACCTTGACTAATCTCGTATTTACTCGGGGACTCAAACTCCAGGATTCTTATAAGCCTTTGTGCTATATGACTGCTTCAATTCAGGAAAGGAAAATCAGACCCTATTTTTGGACATACACACATACTAGCACATATGTCTCTTGATTTCTTCTGCTTTAAAAAATATCTGGCTGGTTCCATGAACTGGTGGCCAGGACAGCTGGATCCCACATGGCTGACCATGCAGTTTATCCTGATGAGGGGTGCTTTCTCCTTTCCCTCTGTCCCTGGTGAGTACACATACCCTCCAGCAAAAAAAAAAAAAAAAAAACAACCCTGAATTTACAGATCTGAAATTACGAGATTCCCATTATAAAACCAACTAAGAGTTCTTCTCGTTCAAGACATTATTTCCTTACAGATTAGCTAATGACTGGGGGAAGGTGAAAGAGGTAGCAGTTGTGAAATCATTGTGCTCAGGGTCACTAGCCATTGACTATTCAACAGGAATTAATACATCTCAGAAAACCAAGAATAAAATAAGAGTCTCTTTATAAAAAAAATTGTGATTTACACTGGACCTTCAAAAACACAAATATTTTTCAAAGCATGCTGTTTCCATTGTTTTTTTTTTTTTTTTTTAAGATTTTTGCTATAGGGTGTGTATGCTCGCTGGAGAGACAGAGAGACAGAAAGCAAGAGATCACTGCAAAAGGAGAATGGCCATGCTGCAATCCCTTCTTCTGCATTCTCTTGGAATTTTGGGCACACGAGCACACATGCCCAGTGTGAGTTTAAAGCCGCTGGGTCCAGTACTCAAATCGTGGTCAACTGCATGGGAATCCAGCAATATAACCATTACACCATCTGCTGTTCCCTCAGTTGGGGATTTTTGAAACAGAAAATTGTAAACAACAGAGGAAAAAATCTGAACAAAGATCACAGAAATCAGTTATCAGAGACCTAGGAAGCTACAAGATAAGTTTCAACATGTACATAATAGGCTAAATGGCTATTTATTAGTAGAAAAATGACAAATTTTTGTCATTCCCCTGACCTGAAGCAAGGTGTAAACTTGGTAGAAAAGATGCATATTGAATAAAAGGAAATAAAGAGTGATCTAATTAGATCTGCAGACCTTGTTCTGATAAGGATGGTCAAGATTTTAGAAATAACAAGAAAATCTTGGGACGGACAGCACAATTTTTAGGTATCGCATCTGCGTCATGCTCTGAATACATGGCCAGCAGTGTCAGCCATCCAGAGCTGACCAGTGATGGGTGGCACCTGCAGCAGACACAGTCTTACCAACGGCTGAGGCAGAGTGTGTGATCTGATACCAAGGAGTGATACCAAGGAGCGGGGAGGCAAACTAAGCTGGAAACTGGAAATCCCAAGCGTACTGATCAGTGTGAAGAAAAATTTTCCGTTGTTATTATTTGCATTTGTTTTTTTCCAGGACCAAAGTAAAAAGAAAAAGGCTCTGTTCCTTTGGCAAGATTCCTGGTTGGAACCCTCTCCAGAGAGGGTTCTAAACTCCCATCTGAATACCTACCCAAATGTCCATACAGAATTCCACTGTATTAAAATTACTATCAACTGGGAACCAGCAGTTAGTGTAATGGCTATGTCACTGGACTCCCATGTAGTCGACCGCGGTTCGCATCTCAGACCCGGTGGCTTAAAACTCACGCCGGGCGCGTGTGCGTGTGTGCCTAAGATCCTAAGAGGAGAACGGAGGAGAAGGGATTGCGGCGTGACCATCCCCTCTGGGGGGTGATTTCTCGCTTTCTGTCTCTATGTCTCTCTCTGTCTGGTGAGCACACGTGCCCTATAGCGAAAACCTCTCCAAAAAAAATTAGTATCAATTCATCCAAGGTAGACATATATCATGACTAAGACAATTGAGATTTTCTAGCTGAAAATGCCATCAAATAATTCAAAATATTACATGGAAAACCATGTCTTAAACTAGGTACTTATCTTCCAATCATAATTATTCCAGTGTCTTCCATATAATTGCTCCCATAAATACTTTTCTAAATATATCAAAGAGATTCTCTTTCTATCAGTTAATGGAGTCAAATCCATTCCAAATTAGGAGTTCTTATGTGTCTTATTAAGCAGACACTATGATTCTATCTTCTTGTTCTCTAGAAATCCATCAGATGTATGTTTCAATATAGAAGTGCTTTCTTTCCTTGTCATGGTAGCAAAAAGCATATCCATCATTCCCAAGGTTTCTAGAAGTTCTCTTTGGTAATCAATCTCTTTTTCCACAAGTCCTTGGAGTAGTAAAAACTTTTTATCCACTACAGGTGACTGACCAATCACAGGCAGATATATATCTAAAAAAAGAGAGAAAATACATTATCTAGAAACATCTTTCTATACAATAAGTGAAAAGCAAGTTAGAAAAAGTATGAAAATAGTAAATACAAAGATACTGAAAATTCTGTATTTATTTTACGACTTATGATTTTAAAAAGTCTAGCAACCATCTTTAGAAAGTTTTCTTTTTATTTTAATTTAACTTAATTCATTTATTTAAATTTGACCAGAAAGGGACAGAGTGAGAAAGCAAAAGAGAAAGGGAAAGTGAGAAAGCAAGATACCAGGTCCCGGACTCAAACTACAGTCAGCCATGTGCAAGTCCAGTGCCCTTAACCACCATGCCAGGGAAAAATGTATATTTCAAGAAAAGTAATTACAGAAAATATAGGGTGAGGGGTTTGACTTATTTGAATTTTCCCATTAAAGAAACAGTCATGGTGGTTATACTTATGAAAAAAATTATTTAAGGGCCCAGATGGTGGCACAACATGATGCTCTGCAAGGCGGACCCAGATGAGAAGGCTGCAGATTCACTTCAGAGCCCCCCCGAGTACACACGGCACATACAAGCCCACAGTACACAGCTGGCTAAAGCTAGAGACGGGTCACAGCTTCATGACTCTGTTGGGACTGCGGTCTTTGTTGGCCTATCTATCTCTCTGTGTCTCTTGCTCATGGAAGAAATAAATAAAACCTTTCAAAAAATATGTTCTTAATAAAAATTATAATAACTCCAGTCCCACCATGTAAAAGTCATACCACTGTTTTTACTGTATTTTAAACTGCATCTATTACTGTTGTTTTCTCCAAGAAAATCACCAACAGAGAACTGACGAAAATAAGGTATTTTGATCTAGCCGATTTCCAAATTTGAATCTGATATGTTGCAAGCATGTTTAGATTTTCAAATTTTAACAATTACTTACCAATAATTATTTCAGCAACATTGATCAAAACAGGGGCAAATCTTGGCTGTGAGAGATTTCTACAAAGCAAAAATTCTATTTAATGAAACTTACAAACTTAAAAAAAAAAATCCTTAAGACTAATTATATTGTTTTGCTAGTCTCTGCAAAGACCAAACAAATTGCCCCTCACTTAGTGATAAATAACTTCAAGTGTAAAAATACAAATGTCCCATGGATAGACAACATACCTTATCAAAAAATTAAGAATGCGACTGATCTCCTTTTCATCCCGACCTGCGAGGGCATTTGCAAGGACTCCTCTTCGATTTAGCTCCTTTATGATGGAAACTGTAATCTCGGGTGTCTTTATTGTACAACTGGGCTGTAAAAATTTTGAGAGTCAATTTGTACAAGACAGTACAAGTAAAAAATCAGTGCCTTGCACTAAATTACCCAGTTTGAGTCATTTTTTTGTTTTGGAGAGGTTTTTGCTATAGGGCGCGTGCGCTCGCCAGACAGACAGACAGAGACAGAGAGACAGAAAGCGAGAAATCACCCCCCAAGGGGGATGGCCATGCTGAAATCCCTTCTCCTCCATTCTCCTCTTGGGATCTTGGGCACGCGTGCACACGTGCCCGGCGTGAGTTTTAAGCCACTGGGTCCGGGATGCGAACTGCGGTCGACTACATGGGAGTCCAGTGACACAGCCATTACACTAACTGCTGGTCCCAGTTTCAGTCAGTTTTTATGGTCAGAGTTCTAAGTCATAGTAATTGCTCAAGTAATAAAACTGCTTTTAGAAATGCTTTTCACTCACCTCGAGGACTCTGTCAAGTGCCTTAGAGATCCGAAAGTTTTTCAGATCCCTGTCATACAATTCTAGATGTTTCTTTGCTGGCCTACTGATCAAAATGTCATCCTGTATTGAAAAGTAAATTTATAAATGAGAAAAATCAACATGTGTATCCAATCAAAATATTTTCCTAATGAAGTACTATGTTTTTTAAACAGGATGTCCTTGAATTATATCACAAATAATGTTCATTTGACTATATTGTAGAGTGAATGAAAATTGAATAGTGTCACACCAACGTGTTCTTACTCTTGTTAACTTTGAACTACAACACATGCAACTGTCACGATTCTGAGCAAAAATTACTCATTTCTATCCTCTTTACATGGCAGGCAGTATGATTTAGTAGAAATATCCTATAAAACAAGAAATCAAATTACTGAGACCTTGTCCAAACAATTTTGGATACTAGTAATAAAATTTTGAATCACTCATTATTCCTTTCTACCTCAATCTTCTCAGATGCCAGATGTGGACACTACTGACTACTATTTTGGGGGGTTGTTTAGAAAATCAAATCAGATAATGCATAAAACCATTATTCTGAATATGGTAAAGCACAATAACATTATAATTCAGAGGAACAAATAAAGTAGTCCTTGTTCCTCATGTCCCAAATCTAGCAATCTAGGCAATTCTGATGCAGAGAAAAGCAAAATAAGTTAAATGCCATGTGAACTGTGCTTTCCAAATAATGAGCAGAGATGGAGCTGTCTACCTTAACAGATTTCACCATTTAAAACAATATGAGAAATGCATAAATACCCGTTGCTTCATGTAATTTTTTCCTTTAATAAAGGTTCGATATGCAGGCCTTCTTCTCCTGGGAAGAGAATCCTTTTTTGCTTCAGATTTCTTATGTTTAACACTCAATATTCCATTGGTCATTCCTACAACTATTGTCTCATCTTCATGCTAACAGCAATTAGAAAAATAAGTTAGTCTAACTCATAACTTACGTCCTTTTACTTCAAAATTAACACCTTTAACATGTCTACTGCTTAATCCTGTTTTGATCAACCATTCTGTTCATATACAGACAGTCTATGTAAAAAGAGTAAAATTCCTTTAGGATGCCATGACACAACTTACACTCATAAAATATCACTGGTAAAATGTATAATAATACACAATTAACAGCATCAAAGGTTACTGGGTGGCATGACTTTCTACAATCTTGTCCAATAAAATATTTTTAGTAAGTTTTTCTTTCCCATTTCAGATTTTGATATACGTTCAAATGCCTTCCTGCCCACATGTGGCTCTTCGCGACTTGACAGTATGCACATCAGAAAGCGCAATCAACAAAACAAGAGACACGCTTCGGTTTATAGCCCCCTTTACTCTCCACCTTCTCTTCTGCTCAGAGTCAACTTGCCTTTCGAGAGTATTATAAAAGAATATACCCTTGAGTTAAATGAGAGCTTTTCTCAACTTATTAAGCCCTGCCCTTAATATTAACAACGTCTACAGCACTAACTTCGTTTGAAGCACTATAGTGAGTGGGAACTAAATCTGAATTCATGCTAAGTTATTAGGTGACTTCAAAAAGTCTGGGGAAGAGTCTAATTAAATTACAAGTTTATTTTGATGCAAAAATGTTTTAAAACTCACCCATAGTTTTTTCAGAATACAAACTTTACATCTAAGGCCCCTTGTATTAAGATGAGTCACATATCCTATCTATCTTCTTAACTCGAATATTTAATATGGCAAGAAAACTGTTCAAACCCAAAGTCCTAAAATTCTAGTTTAGTTTCATTTAATAGGCAAGGTTAGTGACAGCTTTAAAGAGTATTAAAAATACTTACTGCAAGTGCAAGACTCAAGATTGATGCTGCATAATCAAAACTATGGACTACTTTGTAGGAAGCTGTGCTATATACTTTTACTTTCCTAATAAAAAAAGGAAAAATTCACCATAAATCATCTTCGAAACATAAAACAGGGAGAAAACTAACTACCCTGTAGCATCATCTAGGTCATTAGATAATATGTACTCATGTACTGTTCTAGAACATTAACCAACAAAATAGTATAGTATTTATTTAAAATAGTAGTATTTGGACCACATTAATGTATAGAAATATTCACTTATGGCTTTTAAATTTTACAGAAAATAAAATATATACATAGATTCATTATGAAAACTTCAAATCCTATGTATAATAATAATTTTAAAAGAAACTACGAAATAACATTATTTTAAAGAATTACTATTTAACAACAATGCTTAAGCACATAAGTTAAAACAAATCATGTCAAGATAGAAAATAAGTAGCTATATGTAAATAAAAGATCAAAACTACTTTCAACGCTTTTTTCATGAAAATCATCAGAATATTTACCTTATATACTGCTGCAGTAACCAACTTTCTCAAGTTGTAACACTTATACATTAATAGTAATGAAGGAGAAAATTAAAATGCTAACCTATCCAGGGAGCCAGAGAGTAACCTCTGTCCAGAACTGCTCAGACATAAACATGTCACAGTTTTGTGATGATTTTTCAAAGACACTAGCAACTGTCCTCCTTTCAACATGTCCCAGACTTTAACATAACGACCTCCTATAAAAATAAATCATTGTTAGTTTCATATTCTAAATTGTAAAGATCTGCAAAGCATTTTTCACTGGACACAACACAGCACAGAGGCTGAGTGAGGGATTCTGGAGCCAGATTGCCAGGTTCAAATCCTGTCTCTACCACTTACTGGGTTGCGTGACTAATAACAACACTTCCTACTTCACAGAATTGTTATGGCAACTAAATAATTTCATATTTGTCAAGCATACAGAACTGCCTGGCAAAATAATTTAAGTCTAGTAGACAAAACAGAAAATGTTTTTATGGGGAGGTTCCTATCTACCCCAACTAGGGAATCGGAGCTGGAGCCCAACTCTCAATCCCTCTCTCTCCACTCCCATGTGACAACACATCAGAGGGATCACAGTGTGAAATGACTGATCCAGTTCACCCTTCATTTTCAGGGTCTAAGGACCTTAAGGGATTGCCAAGGTCACACAATTATCTAATGGCAGTGATTAGCTACAGGTTTCCACTCTGTTCAACTCAATCTTATCTCCATTCTCAAAAGAACAAGAAAATAGGTATGCCTGACAAGGTTATCAATTAACTTTTAACTTAAATCATTACTTTCTCAACCA